CCTAACTCTTTAAGTTACACTTAAACATGTATGTATACGTGCAGTTATGTATATATTACGTATACATACGTGTATTACATACTTATAGCACTGTCTAAACTCCAGTTGGACTTTGCTCAAGAGAAATCACAGTCTAACTAATATAATAATGATCAATATAGCGTTGAAAAAATTATGTGAAAAAATATTTGAGAGCAATTTGTGTTGGACAAAGTCATAGCTTAGGATGTACGATGGATACTTTAGTTACTATATACAATATTATTACATATAAGGAAGAATAATAACTTATTAAATTTTTAATTGGCTTTTAAAGGGAACGTATATTGACCAAAATCATAAGCAGTCTATTTATTACTGCAATTTATTTTTGTAAAATATTAAGGTGTGAAAGCAGCTTTTAGTTTGATAAATAATCTTGCAAAGTTTGATAAATAATCTTGCAAAGTTTGATCTCTGAATAGACTTTGTTTGTTTCTCTGTTATTGCTTACCCTACCTCCCGCTGGATTTTCTTGGTAAATTGAATGTCCCAATATGACATAACATGTTAATTTTCATTTCAACGTAAACGCTTATCCATTATGTCTTTGACCTGTACATTCAGCACAAGCCCGTCCTTTATGGATACATGTTTCAAAGACATTAGATCGTCATTTTTCATTTAGAATAATTCACTTGTTTTATAATCTTAATCTTGCTGAACTTCATAGCTATTTCTTAGAAGGAATGAGATTGAAAGCACACATCTAAGAATGAACAAAATCTATGTACATGTGACTGTATACGCGTCTTTGATGTACATTAATCAAAATTAGTTTACAACAGTGCACAATGATATATAAATTTTTAACGTGGAATATAATGGACAATGTGCTGTCATTTGTGTGCTTAAAATCTGTTTGATATATAGGATGTTTCAAACACATATTCACAACTCATGTCAAATCATCTACAATGTCTTTCATTAAGGAATGCACCAAGGAACAAAGATCCAAAAAAGAAAGCAAAAATGCTATTATATTATATTACATTATATATAGTAAATAATATATTTTGTACAGATACATGAAACATCCTTTATACAAAATCTAAATTCATAGATCGGTTTTTAAACGTGTGTGTTTTAGAATTCTTTCTTGTGTCTGTACACTCATTGAAGAATTTTAAAACAAAAATTTTTCTTCTCATCCAATAATCTTTATATATTTTCTGAAAGATTTTTATCAAGCCATTGCACAAAAATGTTCATAATACAAATAAGGAAGCATTTTTTGTCTGTCAAATTCTATTTTCTAATGCTCCCAATGACTGAGGTTTTTCTTAAATTTTTACAAATTTTTACCTTTCCCTGTCTCACAAACTCTTTCTACTTTTCTAAAATATTGTGACTTTAAGGCATTGAGAGCATTTTATGTTGCCAAGGTAGTTGATGTACGGTGCTATATTCTTCTGAATAATATATATATGTATATATATATATATATATATATATACAACACAGTGGAAGCAATCGTTAGTATACGAATTTATGTCTTGTATTGCATATAAGTGTTCAATTACTAAGTTCCTGGAATTATATGTAATGACTTTACATTCTTGTCTATGAAAACATAAGTATTAGCGACTTTCTAAAAGTATTGTTATACATGAAAATAAAGCTCCATTTACCACACAATTCTGAAACTACACTCCATACATGTTAGTTACCACATGTTACTAAAACTTCTTTCTTTCTACAAGGACCATGTGAATGTCAGAAGGCATGAAATTAAATAATTTAACACTCGCTTTTGATCACTTGCATCCTGCCATATAGTCACTGGTTTAGTTTAGTTTCTTCTTTATTATTATAATCACTAGACTAGATATTTTAATTTTGCAAATTGTCTACTTGCTGTTTCTTAATTTTACAATGAGTGCCTCACGAACTTAACAAGCAGTTATGCAGCTAATCAACATCCTTTAAGGGGCTTCTTCTTAGGTTTGTATTAAAAAAAAATTGAAGCGTATGCTCAAACTTTTTCAAGGACCATTAGAAATTTCGTTATACACACTTAACTTTTACATCTTGTTCATTAGTGTGCAAATTGTAAACAAGCATTTGTTATATATAGTAATACCATTTCATTAAGAAGATTTTTCGAATTCAGCAACCATTGACTGGCCTGTACTTGATTTTGTTGATAGGTTGAGAAACCTGTTACCGAGGGTCTGAGCCATCGTACACGGGATCAATGGGAGATCGATCGCTCGTCTCTGAAATTCGTGAGGAAATTGGGACAAGGCCAATTCGGAGAAGTATGGGAAGGATCATGGAACAATACCACTGCGGTAGCAATCAAAACGCTCAAGCCTGGAACTATGGATCCTAAAGACTTTTTAGCAGAAGCACAAATCATGAAGAAACTTCGACACGCAAAATTAATTCAGCTCTATGCTGTGTGTACTTTGGAAGAACCTATTTATATTATCACTGAATTGATGAGGAATGGCAGTTTACTAGAATTTTTGCAAGGTAACATTCAATGATACAACGTGTATAATTATCGCGTAGAATTCAATTATTCACTATTATATTTGTCTGCATTTAGGAAAGGGCAAAACATTGAATTTGCAACGACTGATCGATATGGCTGCGCAAATTGCAGCGGGTATGGCATATCTCGAATCGCAGAATTACATTCACAGAGATTTAGCTGCACGTAACGTTTTGGTAGCAGAATTGAATGTCGTGAAGATTGCGGACTTCGGTTTAGCTAGGTTGATCAAAGAAGATGAGTATGAAGCTCGCGTTGGAGCCCGCTTCCCTATTAAATGGACTGCACCCGAAGCTGCAAATTATAGTAAATTCAGTATTAAGTCTGATGTGTGGTCGTTCGGTATTCTTCTTACTGAATTGGTCACCTACGGCAGAATACCATACCCGGGTAATTAAGTTTTTATTTTTATTGTAATATATGATTTTTTTCTGAACATTGCGAAAACTAAAATGTTTGATATTGATGCTCTGCAGGTATGACAAATGCTGAAGTACTTCATCAGGTAGAACATGGTTACAGGATGCCATGTCCGCCTGGCTGTCCAACTGCATTATACGATATCATGTTAGAATGTTGGAATAAAGACCCAATGAAGAGGCCAACTTTCGAAACGCTTCAATGGAAGCTCGAAGATTTCTTTACCATGGAAGGTTCTGAGTACAAGGAAGCATCAGCGTATTGAGGCATTAAACTGAAATACTGTCTTTTGTTATAATGTGCTTCGTCATGATACTGACAAGACACGATAGGTATTCTGTATATGTACATGCAACGAGAAGAATGCAGATTATTACAATTAACAATTTATTCGGGACACGGATGTTTGTGATATTTCAGAGAACAGTTTGTATTAAACGGTGATCGTCTTTTAACGAAAGACGACAACGTTTATTTTTTTAGCGATTAAACGGATTGCTTTCGTTACGTGTTCTGGCGGCTGCCATGAGATATTAGAGCAAGTTTGTCAATTCACGAATAATTATACAAGAATTAAGATCAATACTTGGTTGACTTTCAAAAAAATTAGCGGCAACAGTTTAATTTATTTTAGAATACACTTCTGAACGTGTAAATGCCGGATATTAATATAATAGTCCCTTTAGGCAATATTTGTGGAAGTTGACATTTTTAAAGTAGAAATTTGTTGCCTATATAAACCTTGACGAGAAAATGCAATTGTCAGAAAGCATTACATACATTTGATATACGTACAATACCTTCAATGCACAACCTTCTTGAAACAATGTCTATATTCCTGAAGGTTCACTAAAATTTGAATTACAAATTTATTATAACGCGGATAGCTATATATCTTTTCATTGATCATTTCTTCTGCGGCCTCATTCCCTTTTCTACTATTCGAAACTAGTTTACTGATTTTTAAGACATAAAAACGTCAACAACTATATTGACTACAAATTTAACGTTTGAATTCGACAAGCAATTTAATCCGTTGCAGTATATATATAACGTGTCCAAGACAAATCTTTTTATTTTCCGAATACGTTAACTCTGAAACAAGTTTCGGACAAATACATGCTAAATAGAAGCAATGCATCTAATCGAAAAGTTCATAATTGTTCATAGTAAAAGTAGTAAATGTGTAAGATAACGTAAGAAATTAACGAGGGTATTAATGTTAATGTTGCTAGAAGCATGTACACTGAGAATGCCTCGATTTTTTATTTCATCGTATGTAATATGTTTTAATTTTAGCAGTACCGAATTAGTTCTATTATTGATTTTGCACTAGACCA